GGGTCTTAGCATCAAACTCTAGGCTTCGACTAAAATTCCATGCCCCAACAAAAGGCGGTGGAGCAAGCCTGCACTCCCATCACTTCAGAACAAAAAGGCCTCAAAGAATAAAACGAATGCGAGGTTGGTGAGAAGCCCAGTGGGAAGAGGCACCTGCCACCGAGCCTGAGATCTGAGTTTGATCCACATCGTAGGAGAGACTCAGTTCCTTAAGATGTCCTCTACTTTCCACATGCACACACACGACTTACCTCTTGCACATGCTAAGATAAAAAAAAGAAAAAGAAAAACCAAAATGTAATAGAAAGATGGCCCAGTCAGTATGTACACACATGACTCCCTGAGTTCAGATCCCCAACGCTCATGTAAATGCCAGGCACGGCAGTGTCTACCTATAATCCCAATGCGGGGCAACCAGACAGGGGTAGATCCCTGGAGCTCATTAGCCAGGCATTTAGTTAGCCAGCGAGCTTCAGGTTCAAAGAGAAGACTCTGTCTCAAAAAGATGGAGAGCAACTGAGGAATACAGCTAACATCTATTCCTGGCCAATACACATTCACACACACAAACTCAAGCACTACATACACACCATACTTAAAAACAAACAGGGCTAGAGACACAGCTCAGCAAGCAGTTAAAAGCATGTACTGCTCTTGCAGAGGACTCGAACTCAGCTCCCTGCACTCACCTCAGGCAGCTCATAACCACCTATAACTCTCGTCTCTGGCCTCTATGGACACCTGATTGACAGGCATATACCCATACAAAGATACATACACAAACATGATTTTAAAAACACATCTTTAAGCCGGGCGGTGGTGGCGCGCGCCTTTAATCCCAGCACCGGGAGGCAGAGGCAGGCGGATCTCTGTGAGTTCCAGACCAGCCTGGTCTACAAGAGCTAGTTCCAGGACAGGCTCCAAAACCACAGAGAAACCCTGTCTTGAAAAAGCAAAAACAAACAAACAAACAAACAAATAAATAAATAAATAATACATCTTTAACAAGCAAACAAACACAACACAACAAGGTCCCAGGCATGGTTTCTTCCTCTGTTGAAAGAGGATTATGAGTCACTCAGATGCTACAGCAGTAGTTCTCAGCCTGTAGGTCACATCTCCTTTGGGGGATGAAAAACCTATTCACAGGTGTCAACTAAGACCACTGGAAGACACAGATATTTACACTGTGGTTCATTACAGTAGCAAAACTACAGTTATGAAGTAGCAATGAAAATAATCTTATGGTTGGGGACACTGGGCTAGAGTGTCTGTGCAGATCTCTGACCCTCGGAGCTCAACTGCCCAAGGACACTTCTCAGCTGTTAGTGGTTAAGGAGACCCCTGCCTAAGTATCAGCTTTGGTCAGTAAATCCCACTGCCCACTCCCTGGTCCCAATTCCCCCACTCTAAAAATTCTTTGGCAATTCCATACATATATACAGTGATTTTTGGACATTTTCACCATCCATTTTCCACTCCCATGTTGTCCCCATGATCTCTAGACTTTCGTGACACTGGCGCACAGGTCCGGGCGCCAGGCCTCTACCACTGCCAACAGGTGGCATGTACTCACAACACTTCTCCCCAGACATAGGGCTTTGCTCCCTCATGCTCATACTGTCATGCCAGGCCCAGACAATGAAAGGTTAAAGATTTCCCCACCCAAGACAGGGTCTCACTATTTGCTCTGGCTGTCCTGGAACTCACTATGTAGACCGCACTGACTTCAAACTCACAGAGATCTACCTGCTTCTGCTTCCCAAGTACTCGACTCAAAAGGTATGTGCTACCACGCTTGCCTCAAATTTTTAAAGTTTTTCATTTATTTTTTTTTCTTCCAGCCTCTTCTACGGAGGCAGATACAGATGGATTTCTATGAGTTCAAGGGCAGGCTGGTCTACAGTAAGTTCCAGGCCAGTCAGAGTTACATAGTGGGATCTTATCTCCAACAAAACAAGAATACTTTTTTGTAGGTGTATACATTCATATATGCACATGTGGGAGCCGACGCTGGAAGAAGCCAGAGGTCCTCCTCAATTGCTCTCTGCCTTTTGAGACAGGGTCTCTCACTAGCATTTTATGGGTGCTAGGGTTCTGAACTGAGGGCCTATGCTTGTACAGCAAGCACTTTATCAACTGAGCCACCTCTGCAGCCCCAGGTACTTAAGTCATCTAGTCCATCAAACTTCTGGCCCTTCAGGATCTCATTACCTTGTACTTTAGCTCAACGCTACCCCAGAAATTGCAAGCTAAAGGGTTTTTATCTCCGGAGCTGGGGTACACACACATATTTGTGGGGGGATATAGATCAATTGTAGAGTGCTTGCTTAGCATGCTCAAGACCCTTGGTTAAACCCCAGAAACCCACATACCAGTTATGGCCCTTAACCCAAAACACTATAAACGCAGTTTAAATATGGAGCCTCTGTTTCAGCCACCAAAATTTCACCTTTTTAGGATCCCAGGGGCCATCCACATCACTAGTCTTTTCTTCATCCTTCAAGGTTCTTGTAGCTCCAGAAGTCAGAACTCTAACCCGGTCACTATGTCTATCAAGATCCATACCTTTTCCCTACTATATCCCCTTCCGCTCTTGACCTCCCTTCTTCCGGCCCGAGACATCAAGACCTTAACCTCAAAAGCAGCTCCTCGCTTCACTCAGGCATTGAAAGACCCGGTTCTTTATTCCCAGCCTGGTCAGTGTTTTGACATGTCGCCTTTGGCTCGTTAGGATTCCCATGAACTGGGCATACACAATCTGGATCTAACCCCCCCCACCCCCCCGATTGCCAGATTCCGAGCCGGGGAGGAATCTGGCTTCGGATCTTCCCTCACGGATCACCCTTGGCCTCGCCGCAGACTTACAAAAACAAGATCCGGCCGCTCGGGACGCGGAACCCGCGCCATCACCACCATCTTCCTGGATCCCAGGTACAGACGAGAGTCGTGCGCTGGTGGCGTCACTCACAGAAGGCCCGCCCTCTCCGGCCAGACTTTCTCTGTTGGCTGCACGTCACTTTCTCTGCAGGGCCTGCTCGGTCGAATTTTGTATCGTCAAGGCTGTGACCGGAAGCAGAAAAGCGGCGCCGGAAGATGACGCCACCGTGCGCGTTATTGGCCACTCAGCTTTAAGATCGCTTCTCAGATACACCAATGAGATTTTGTATTGCTGGAGAGTCACCTTTGGGCGGAAGTGGCTTCATAGAACCGGAGAAGCGAGATGGGGGTGAAGCTGGAGGTGTTTCGGGTCAGTGAGCTCAGGAGTGGGTTGGACGTTTGAACCTGGCATCTTTCAGAATTTGAGAATGGTTATTGGAAACGAGAGAAGGGTAGAGCGGGGAGTTCCACGGAGAAAGTATCTGAGATTTGTATTGAAACTCAGCGGAATGAGCTCTAGATGTGGGGGCTTAAAATGGAGAGTCTGGGTTTGGTCTGAGGAAGCGTTTCAGAGAGGAATGAAAGGAGGCTTCCGATCCAGAGCGGGCTTTCCAGAAGGGGAGCCCCGGGCTCCTAATAGGTCTGTCTCAGTAGGCGGACTCCTAGATGTAGAAGAGTATAATTGCAAAAATGAGGCCTCTATTTAAAATGCTACGAGGATCAGATTGGGAGGTAATAACACCTCAAGGATATATCTTTGTAGTAGGAGCTGTTGGACTGTCCCCCACCACTACCGTGCGCCTTGGTGTGTATGTGTGTGTGTTTGAGAGTGAGGCTTGGACAGGACTGTTACGTATAAAGCCTACTGGATCAGGAAGACCAGGCTTTAGAGTGCCGAATTTCTATTCTCCTGGTAGGATTTCTGGAGTTCCTTGGGGAGGCCACGAGGCCAGGCTCCTGGCCTGTGTAGAAGGATAGATCTGTCTTCTGGACTTTCCTACAATCTCCCTGTACTAGGGTGGTGATAGTTCTGGGCTCTGTCTATCCACCCCTTGCTTTTGCAGATGTCACTCTACCTCACTTTCCCCGTGGTTATGTTTTGGATCTCCAATCAGGCAGAGTGGTTTGAGGACTATGTTGTCCAGCGCAAGGTGGGTACCAGGAGAGTTTGCTGGGTCATTCCCGGGGATGGGGAAGGCAGGATATGAGGCACTGACTTGTTGCTGGGGACCATTACCTGCCTCTCATGTGCAACTCTGCTCTGAATGAGGGACTCTGGCTTCTCTTGGCTGTGTTCTCACCTGTGACCTTGTTCCACAGAGGGAGCTGTGGCCACCAGAGAAGGAGGCTCAGGTAAGGAGCCCATTCTTCTTCCAAGGGGCTGGGTCACCTTACCCTGGGTGGACTTGGAACAAATTCCATCATCAGCCATAGATAGGAAATTGGAAACAAAAGAACGAATAGGAGTTCCAGGCTAGCCTGGGCTAGAGACCTTGTTTCCATACAAGTTTCTTACTGTTAGAGATGGGTTATATCCATGATTACTTGGAAGTTGCGGTAGGAGGATTATCAGATTGAGTCAGCCTGGACTGCAAAAGGTTAGAGAGAGGGAGCAGGGAGAGAGGGCTGTAATTGCAGCATTCTAGTGCTTAGGAGGTGGATGCAGAAGGATCGAGAATTCTGGGTATTCTCTCCTGCATAATGAGCTCAAGACTAGCCTGTCTTAAAAAGTGGGAAGGGCACAAATGGTCTCATATATTACCATCTCCCTGAAGGCTCAGGCTGAACTCACTGGTATGGTGGTTGTGATTGGCATGGGATCCCAGGATGGATACTGAACTGTCAAGCCAAAGGAAGCGTAGTGGGAGTAAGTCCAGGCCCGGCAGTGTGCGCCCCTCCTTCCTTCCCATCACACCCTTTTCTTCACTCCAGCGCCAGGAGCTAGAAGAATTCAAACAGAAGGTCCGGAAGCAGAGGGAAGAGAGACTTCTTCAGGCTGCTCAGCAGAGCTCCTGAGACCTTCAAGTATTCAAGTCCCGGCGCCTCCACCCAGGAAATAACACACACTCAATGCTTTGTTACTAGTGCCAAGCGTTTTATTGTTGTTTTCAGGGGCCAGTGAGGGGCCCAGGATGGCTAGAACTCTCAAGGAGCTTGTGTCTGGGGTTGGGGGCTGCTGTTCCTGCGGAAGCTGAGTGCAGCAGGGTCCTGAGGGGTGAGCAGGGGTTGAGGGCTGAGGGTCCCGGGTCGTTTCTGCATTCCATCCTGTGGATGAAGAAGGGTCAGACAGAGGGAGGAGACCACGGAAAGTGCAAGCCAGAGGAGCCTTTAGACAACACTTCTTTTTGTCTGCCTTCATCTGCCAATCAGTGTGGTATTTGGTATGAGACAGTCAACTCTCAATGGGGTCTTGATCAGAACCTGAGCTGTTGGTTTACATCTTTAATCCTAGCGCTCAAGAAGCAGAGGCAGGAGAATTTTCTCAAGTTCAAAGCCAACCTGGTCTACGTAAAAAGTTCCAGACTCACAACCCTGTCTCAAAAACAAACAAATAAATGGGCTGAGAAGATAACGTAGTCATTAAAATCCTTGCTGTGTGCACTTGAAGACCTGAGTTTAAATGAAAAGCCAGATGTGGTTTTATTCACTTGTAATTTCAGGGCTTGAGTAGAGTCAGGAGGAGCCCTAAGGCTTCCTGGCCAGCGAGACTGGTCTACTTGGTGAGTTCCAGGGCAGTGAAAGATCCTGTTTCAAATGGTGATGGCGACCGGGTAACAGTATCCGAAGTTAACTTCTGGCCCCCGCCTGCTTGTTTGCACATGGACCTCTAACATGTGTGCTAGTGTACTCAGACACAGAGCTGGGGATGTAGCCCAGTTGACAGAATGCACCAAAGCTCCGGATTCCATCCTAACCACACGGCCCACTCCTGGTGGCTCACTTGTAATCCCAGCACTAAGGAGGTACATGTAGGAAAATTAGAACTCTAAAGTCATCATTGGCTGGTGGGTTTGAGGCCAACCGGAGCTACATAAAACACTATCTCAAAAGCAAAAAGGCCTCAAACAGAACCCATGCTCTTTGTTAATACATGCGTGTGTGAGCTCATCTGCCCTTCTCCCGGGAGCATCACCATAGGAAAACTGTTTTCTCCCTGAGGCCTCTCCCAGGTACACAGATGTTGTGGCAGGAGCTGTAACTTCCAGCCATCAGTCTGATACCAGCACGAGTCCTGCATGATCTTAAGCCCCCTGACACCCACATCTATCTGCGCTTTCCTCTTCCAGAGTTAGAGACAGGGTCCCGTCCTATCTTGGCTGGAGATGGGCATAATCTAGAGAGCTGTACTGCTTCACTCCAAAGGCTATCTAGACATCACCTACCTTGGGACCAATAGGTTGGAAGCCAGGCAGGGAATTGACTGTCACACGCTGGTCATCCATGCGGCGGCCCTGGGTGTCGGCCAGCATATCCATGAGATTGTCCATCTCGGGAGCAGGGCCACCCTCTGGATCAGAGACAGGTGGTCATGAATACAAATCCAAAGGAGGTCACATGGTGCTTTCTAGCCTGAGTCCAAAGAGCCACAAGACCCCAGGACCCCTGCACCTCTGCCGCATTTACTTCTCAGGCAGTACCCAGCCCCAACCCCAGCCCTGCATCATGCCCAGCTCACGGCTTTCTGGGGTCTGGCCTGGACCAGCCTGCAAGGAACAACGCTGCTCCTCCATCCGATCGCCCTGCACGTGGCTCAGCAGGTTAAAGAAGCCTTCTTGGTCTGGTGAACCTGCCTTGGGAACAGACATGCTTGGTTTAGCTGGGTACTGTACCGTTCCTGCCTTCCATCCAGCGCCCACCCGAGCCAGCGCCTGCCTTCCCATCTCTGCTCTCACCATAGTCCTCACAGGTCTGTAGAGTTTCTCAAAATGAAAAGTGAGTCTTCTTCCCTGAACTGCCCCCCCACCCCCCACCTCCCACCTCCCAGCCTGGGGCCCCAGCCTGCAGCACAATTTCACAAGGTACCGTCTCTAGAGACAGTATTCCACCACTGTCCTAGATCAAGACCATACTGGGGTTGGTTTGGGGGCTGGGACACTTACCAGAGAAATGGGGCTCAGAAGTGCCCCTAAATCATAGCACCTATCATCTCTTGGGGGGAACAGTACTAGGAATCCAACCATTTGCCCTGAGCAGGGGGAGGGGCACTTATACCCTCCTAATATACCCCCCCATGTGTTATGGTAACTGGGTCAGGGGACCCCAGAGACTTGCTTGCTAATTAGATGCCCTACAAATGAGTTAATCCTGTCAGTCATGGGTACTGAGACCTCAAGAAGCTGGTGGTGGAGTCAGGCAGAGCCCTCTTACCTTGTCCAGACGGCCTGAGCCCCCCTCGCCCCTTTCTTCTTCCTGATCCATCATTTGTCTTTCCCACACTTTCCTCCTGGCCTGTGACAGGGTCCCCACACCTGAGAGGGCCTTTTAAAGGGCCAGGATGTGGGGGAAGGGGAACAGATACCTTTCCCCATCCCCAAATCCCCAGCTCATATCCCATCTGCTCCCACCCACGCTTAAGCCCCAGAAAGATGATCTCTAGGTAATTGCTCATCCAGACTGATGCTGAGGTGGGTGTGGGTGGAGGGGGCAGGGAAGTCCAGGTTTGGACCTCACTGGACCGAGTCATACTCACGGGGCCCTGAGGACTCTCAGTTGGGAACAAGAAAAAGCCAGTGCAAAACAGGAGGGTGGAGGATGTCCCCAGGCATGCCATCCAGTTCCTGTCTACAGGTTTATCCCTCTGCAGGGCAGATGACATCTGCAGGGGATAGCCAAGGAGGGAGCTGGGGTTCAGTACTCTTCAAATCCCTGCACCCTCCACAGACACACAAGCCAACCTGGTGCCCGCTACTCACCACTCCTGAGGTTCTGTATCCCTACCCTGGGGCTACCCTGAAAGAAACACCCGATCTCCTGTCCATCTGCCCCTCAAAGGCCAAGCCGAGTGTCTTCAGTCTCTCATTCCCACATGGAACAGGAGAGGAAGGAAGTTCCTGTCCACCCCAGCAAACGGGCTCTGAGAGCCTGGTCCTGTCTTTAAGATGCCTTTCAGGAAACCAGATACACTTCTTTTCCAGGGCTGGAGAGACGGTTCCTGGGTAGGAGCACTGGCTGCTTTGCCAGAGTACTAGGTTCAATTCCCAGCACCCACATGGCAGCTAACAACCATCTGTAACTCCAGTTCTAGGGGAATCTAATGTTCTCTTCTGGCCTTCTGGGCACCAGGCACACTCACAGTGTACAGAGATACATACAGGCAAAACATCCATACACATAAAATAAACATTTTAAAAAGTTTAAATAAATAAAGTTAAAAGTTTACATTTTTTTCTTTGGGGGTGTGTGGGGTAGGGGTTGTGTATATAGTGTATGTGTGCACATGTGGTATATGCATGCTCGTGGGAAGACCAGAGGTCAGCATCAGGTATCTATCTCCCTCTACTGCTCTTTACCTTCCTTTGAGACACAGTCTGAAAAATTAAACCTCAAGCTGCTAGGTTTGGCTGGGCTGGCTGGGCTGGCTGGGCATTGAGCATCCTGACTTTAAATTTATTTTTATATTTATTTTATGTGTATGGGTGTTTTGCCTGAATGTATGTTGTTGCACCACATATATGATGTGCCCATGGAGGTCAGAAGAGGACACTGGATCCCTTGGAACTTGAACTATGAATGGTTATGAGACACCATGTGGGTGCCGGCAATTGAACCTGGTTCTGTAGAAGAGGAACAAGTACTCAACCACTGAGCCATCTCTCCAGCCCTCAGCTATCTTTCATTCTCTCCCTCCCTCCCTTCCTCCTTCCTTCTCTCTCCCTCCACCCCCCCTCCTTTTTGAAATGTTAAAACATGGTCCTGGCTGTCCTGGAACTCATTGTGTAGACCAGACTGCCATGAATTCACAACTGTCTTCCTTCTGATTCTACCAAAGCCCGGCTTCTTCTTTTACAGTCCAGGTCCACCTGCTCAAAGATAGCACCTCCCAGAGTGAGCAGAACACTCCACATCCATCAGTAATCAAGAAAATGGCCCCACAGACATGCCCACAGCCAGTCTGATGGAAGGCAATTTTCAACCAAAGTTTCCTTTTTACACGTGTGTCAACGACCAAGACTAGTCCTCACACCCTCCTGAAGTTATTGAACCAGCACTCTTAACACCTGCCCCAGCTCTCATATGGCCACCCGGGCCCCAATCCTCAGAACACAGTATGGTGTCCTATTCTCTGTAGGATGTATGCATTTCCTAAGGGCTGCTGGGTCAGTGTCTCTCATAGGGTGGTTTAAAGCTGCAGGAATTTAGCGTATCAATAAAGGTGTCAGGGAGGCCATATTCCTTTTGAAACCCAGGAGTCTGGGCATTCTGCCTTGCCTCTCTGTACCTTCAGTCTTGGGATTCCTTAGCTGGCAGCTTCTATACTTGGGTCCCTACCTGTGTAGACACACGACACTCTTTCTGTTTGTACACATCTTTATAAGCTACCAGCTTGGGTTTTTGTTTGTTTGAGATAGGATAGGATAGGTAGATAGATAGATGATAGATAGATAGATAGCCTAGAACTTGTTGATCAGGCTGACCTTGAGCCTCCACTGACACTCCAGTCTCTGCTTCCTGAATGTGCCACCATGTCCAGTGGCTATAAGGCCATCTAAAGTTTTATTTATTTATTGCTGTGTGGGGTGAATGCATATGCCAGAGGACAACTTCCTAGTATCAGTTCTCTTCTTCCACCTTCATGGGATTTTTTTTTTTTTCGAGACAGGGTTTCTCCGTAGCTTTTTGGTTCCTGTCCTGGAACTAGCTCTTGTAGACCAGGCTGGCCTCGAACTCACAGAGATCCGCCTGTCTCTGCCTCCCGAGTGCTGGGATTAAAGGCGTGCGCCACCATCGCCCGGCCCTTCATGGGGATTTTAAGGAGCTCAAACAGGTTTTTAGAATTAGTCCTGGCTGTCCTGGAACTCACTCTGTAGACTAGGCTGTCCCCAAACTCAGAGACCAGTGTGGTGATATTTTGTTTGTGCTTTAACAACTAAAGCTTGCCTGAAGATCAGAGTGTGGAGCTAGCCACACTAGTTAGCCATAGAGGTCAGGCAGTGGTGGCACACAGCTTTAATCCCAGCACTCAGGAGGCAAAGGCAGGCAGATCTGTAGCACAAATTCTAATTGGTCTTAATAATAAAAACCTGGAGTCTGATATCAGGGGAAATACTGTAAGATCAGAAAATTAAAGGAGTCAGCCACTAGAGAGATTTTTTTTTCTTCTACCTAATCCTCTGACCGAAGGGGGTCTGACTAAGGTCATTTTTAAAAACCATGTGTGTACATATTCATATGTCTGCAGGTGCAGGCCAGAGGGACAACCCCCGGTCATTCTCATAAACATTGCCCATCCTTTGAGACACACATTTGTAAACCCAGCATTTAGGAAGCCGAGTCAGGAAGATCTCAATTTCAAGGCCAATTGGGACTACATAGGAAGCTCCAGGTCAGCTGGAGTTACAGGAGGACACCCAGTCTCAACTGCAAGACCGGAACAGGAATATATCTTGAAAGTTAATGTGAAACCAAAACAGGGAACATATAGCCTGCAGGTGAAGGGTTCTGTTTGCAGTTAAGACAATTAAGAATGAGTTTGTCCTGTGCAGGTTAAGGTTTCTGTTTGTAGTTAAAGAATAAGTGCCTGTTTGTCCTGTGTTTAAGTCCTTGAAAGTTAGTTCCCATTTATAATTAAGAATAAGTTCCTGTTTCTGCAAAACATGTTTTCTACACCTACACTCAACTTGTGACCCCATTCACATGATGTACATGCTTGCCAAATTCCTTCCCTTTCATAGTATCTTTCTAACAATGTGGAACAGCTAACTCTCGCCCTTGTGGACACCTTATCTCTCCTGTAAAAGCGACTTCAAAGGAAGGCAGGGGTTGCTTTCTCAAATCCCAATTTAGGGAGAAGCAGCCAGATGGTTATAAATATAAATATAGCTTGCTTTAATCAGACTGAATAAAAAAGAAATAAAAAGGAAAAGAAGGGAAACATGACTGCTCCTATGTATGATGGAGGTTTATTAGAGATATGGGGGACAGCATAGACAGGGTCAGGGACAGGGACATCTGGGAGAGTCTAGAGTGGACATGAGCAGACTGAGCTCTGCCATTTGAGGAGAGGGTGGAAGGGAAGGGGGAGAAGAGAGAGGAGAACCAGTTTCGTTAGTCAGGAGGCCCAAAGGTCCATAGAGGGCAGGTAACTGAAATGGTTGGATTATATAGGCAAAGGCAGTCCGGCTGGAGAGTTCAGGGTAGGGGGTGGGGTACGCCATCTGGGAGGGCCCAGTAACAGGTAGGGGCTGAAGGATGCAGGGAGAACCTGATGGCCAGGTCCACTTTGATTTGCTAAATAGGCACCCCAGTCATTTGTCCCAGGGTTGAAACCTAACAGAGACAACTGTGGACTTGTTTTTTCTCCTCCTAACTCTCGGGTTTAACAAACAAATGGATTGTGGCAGTAGATGTATACCCTTTAATATGCCAAAAGCCGTTCATTTGTATACATGGCACATATGCGGAGGTCAGGAGCCAGCTCTCTCCTTCCAGCATGTGGGGCCCTGGGTCGAACTGAGGTTGTCAGCCTTGGTAGAAAGCGCCTTTCCTTGACAAACTGTCTCACTGGTCCAGTGAATGACTTTTTGGCAAAGCTGTTAAAAAGGAGACAGGAGGAAGAAGAAGAAAAGAAGGAATGGCCCCAAGTCCCACAAAGGTGGCTGGCCATCCTGTTCATCTGTACATGTCAGGTCTTATGGGTTGATCCTGGGCATGCAGGTTTGTAATCCCAGTCACTCAGAAGGCTACAGCAGGATTTCAAATTCAAAGTCAGCCTGGCAATTAAATGAGACCTCGTTTCAAATGAAAAAGAGGACTGGAGATATTGCTGAATCCATAAAAAGAGAGAGAGAGAGAGAGAGAGAGAGAGAGAGAGAGAGAGAGAGAGAGAGAGAGAGAGATTTTTCTCACTGTAAATCTTGGCTTGTGACCTGAGAAATCCACTAAAGAGGGATGGCTTAGTTTTGTTTGGTCTCAAAGAAACTCAATGTTTGGTCCCAAACCGGTTAACTGAGGTGCCTGTTAGCACACCAAAGCACACTCTGGCTGCCAAACTTACTCAGTATCCTTGAATCCTCTCTGTTCTTCTCACCTCACCCCCTACCCTAAACCTCTCCAGCCCAGGGGCTTCACTTCCCTCCCCCAGCTTTGGAGTCCTAAGCTCTCTCTCTTGGTCTGATTGCTTCTGTTTCTCTCTCTCTCCTCTTCCTCTTTTGCTCGTCCTGTCTCTCATCTCATGGCCTGGTTCAGTCTACTGGTCATGTCTACTACTTTCTCTTTCTGCCCTGGGCTCTTCTAGAGGCTTCTGGCTGTACTCTCACTCATATCTGCAATAAAATCCTTCTCAGCCATACCTTGGAGCGATCATGTCCTCATTTTCACTCAAGTTTGACCTAAGAAGTCTGGCCACTGCCCCTTGCTGCTTCTGTAAGCACTTCTGGCTTCTATTGGTCATCTCCCACTCCTGCCAGCCACTTCCGGCTCCTGTCACTTCCCGTTCCTGTCAGTCATTCTCATATTTACTTACAGCTCACACCCTTACCCTCCTTCGTTCCCTATAGAATTATTTATTTATTTTGATACAGGATGTCATGTTGCCCAGCCTGTTCACTAACCAGCTGTGTAGCCAAGTATGGACTTGAGTTCCTGACCCTCCTGCCTCCAGACGTTGCTGGGATTACATGTGTGGGCCACCATGCTTGGTTTAAGTGGTGCTGGGGTCGGAACCCTGAACTTTGTGCATGATAGACAAGTGCTCGACCAACCGAGCTCCATTCGCAGCCCCACCTGGAAGATTTATTTTCAGACTAGCAAGTCCGCATCCACAGCTATCACTTGTTAGATTTGCAACCTCATGCCTATGGGTGATGCACCCTCCGTCACAGGGTGTCAGCTCCTCTCTAGAGAAACGACGGAAGCAGGTTCTGCTCTGACATTCTGAGATTAATTTGATCCCCGCGCGCGCGCGTGTGTGTGTGTGTGTGTGTGTGTATGTGTGTAGCATTGAATCTGCACATGGACATATCAGCACACGGATACAATTGTCACCCTGTGTGTGTGGTTCTTGAGATAACACTGTGACAAACATCTGGAGTTGTTGCTCAGTGGTAAAGTGCTTGCTGAGTACATATGAGATCCGGGGTTTGATCCTCTGTCACCGTGACCCCCAACCCCCTCCCCCTTTTTTTTAAGAACTAGGAACCTCCTCAAAGCTCAGGAAGCATTGTGGAAGAGGGGGTGACAAACATGAAAGGAGGAGGGAGTGCTGAGAAATGCTGCTTCCAGACTTCTTTCCCCCAAAGAGATGACCAGGGAACCGAGACTTGGATGCAAAAGCAAGGTTTCTAAAACTGTTAAGGTCCATCACCCTGTGATCCCTTTAGTCTTTTATCTGGGTGACTCTTGAATTACAAGGTTTAACTGACAGAGCAAGATACATGTGAAAGAAAGGCTCGTTTGGAATAAACTTTGCTTTTGCATCCAAGTTCCGGTTCCCTGGTGGTCTCTTTGGGGGGGGGGCAAAAAGTGGGCACAACACAGACATGACACGGCTGTTACCTTCGTGCACTCTCTGCACAAGATTACGCCAACATTATCAGTCAAAATTCCAGTAAGCAGCACTAACTAGACACCAGTGGGTTACAAAACAAACAAGCAAGGGAAGAAGTGAAGTTGGGAGGGTTATGTATTGGGAGGTATCTGGGGGAGTAGAAGGAGGAATTTGGTGTGGATATGATTGTTACAGGCTCAGAAAGCCTCATTCTTTTCTGACCTATTGGAACTGAAGGGGAGTGAGACTTTTTTTTCAGCGATGTAGCCACTGGTAAGTTGCTGATGCTGCTGTAAGCAACCCCAGTTAAAACCCATCAGGACACACAAACACATGCAGGTAGAGGTGACTGAAGGGACGCTAGCCCACTCGAGCATGTGACTCTGTCTGGCCTTTCCCTTCTCCCTCTTTCCCCCTGCCTTGCTAAAAATCATTAGATTGTGTCCCTAAAGCTAGCCACCAAGGTCTATTTTCTTATTTGGACACTTTCCTGTGCCAGACTCTTTGCTGAGGACGAGTACCAAAGTCCAGCAATCAAAAGCCCCCCTTGGTTCACCCAATTAACACGTCCAATCAAAATATGCCACTGCAGCCTAGCAGATCCTAACAGACCTCCCTCTTTTCTCCTCTGAAAGGTTACACCCACAAGGTCATTTGCTGCCGTTTTTTCTGCCTGAGTCTGAAAGCAGCCACTCTAACTTTTTCTCCCCTGCTTAATAAAGGATCTCTCTGTGAAAGCAGGTGTTTGGAGGTGGCTTGTGCCTAATCCAGGGCCTGGGAGGGAGCCCCTACTGTGCAGCAGGGGCGGGGGTGTGTCTCCTTCAGGGACTAGTTAGGAAGCGGAAGGGATCATCCAGAATGGGGCATAAGGATTGGAATGAAGGTAACTATAACCAACATAGATTATATGCATGTATGAAAATATCGTAGTGAAACTCACTATCATGTGCAATTAATATATGCTAATAAAAAAGACCGGGAAGCATTTCTTCATGAGCAGGCACAGATAGATGGTCACAGACCCTACGTCTATGTTTCTGTTTCAGCATGGGTCTCCTACAGAATGTTAAGGCTGTGAGAAAACTGGAGAAAAAGTACCTAGTACGAGGTGGGGTCTCCAGGCCTCCGGAGTCTACCGACTGTTGTCCGATCTTTGCTACTAGTCTTTGGATTACAGCGGCAGTTGTTCTAACAGTTCCAGATCTAGAAGGCCGCGATGTCCTTTCAGTGGGCACACTATATCACAGACTGAGGAGCTTCTGGACAGGTGGTAGTGGTACCCAGGTGAGATGGGTATTTGTACTGCTCTGCCATCACGCTGAGCAAACGGATCTCAATGTGTGTGAACAAGAGAGCACTTAAAGAGTCCCATGAAGGACTCCTCGAGGAAGCACACAAACTGGGGATTGTCCGTCTGAGCCCCTGTCAGTGCACCCGCCCTCAAACTGCTGCTGCTAGGACCCAACTTCCTGCAGGCAGGGAGAGACCAGAAGACCACGGGGCGGGACCAGGTGCGCAGGGGGCGTGACCCGAACCCGCGGGGTGGGGCCCTCATGGATGACGGGCGGGGCCACGCCCCCACCTTGGGACCGACCCGGAAGCGGCCGTACTCTTTGGGGGAAGATGGCGCCCTTGGGGCTGAAGGCGGTGGTGGGGGAAAGTGAGTGTCACCCCAGGGCGGGGCTCTGGTGTCCCCTCGGATGTCCCTCGGGGGGCTGGAGGCCTCGGGAGAGGGGCGGTGCACGGATTGATTCTGGGATCCCAGGACCCTGACGGTGGGGAGAGCACCTGACTCTTGAGGGGACGGGCGGGGGACTTGGGCCCAGCTGGGCTACCCACTCCTCAAATGCAGCCGGAGGAGCAAAGTTGGGACGCGAAGGACTCAAGGGATCAAGGAAAGAGAGACACAGGCTCGAGTCTAGACCTGTGGGTCTGCCCCAGCTATAGGCTGTCGAGTGTCTTAACCCGGAAAGTTCAGGGACTGGACTCCGGAGGTCCTACAGTGCCTTGGTCAGCGACCCCAAGTAGTGTATGAGTTCACAGGTGGTGTGCACATTCCCCATGGGGGTGGAGAAGGGGACGCTCCCTCTTTTGCATCGTGCCTAGGAGCTCCTTGCAATTTGAGGATTGGCTTCCTTGCCTTTCAGGCTCAGGTTCTTGGTGGGGAGAAAGAGGGTTTGAGGATCCCCTCCCCCACCTCCAGTAGTTCCGGCCTCAGCTGCTTCTTCCTTCCTGATAAGAGTGGACTGACACTCTGGTGCACTGGCCAGGCTCTGGGCAAGGCTCCCTTTCTTTCCCCTTTCCCCTACTCCTGCCTCTGGGCAGAACAGGTTTCTTGGAAAGGCCCAGTAGTACCTCAGTGCTAGAGAGGAACCTCCCCTACATAAGCGTTAGTGAGAGATGGGGAAAAGAGGCTTGGAGGTCGATAAGAACCCGCAGAGCTGGGAACCAAGCGTTCTGGTCGAAGGGAATTAGGGGACCCTCACTTCCATTCACTCTGTTCTCTAAGATGGACCTGTGTTCTGAGCATTATACTGTCTAGACATGAGGGTGCTTGGGTAAGTTACCTGACCTCACAGAACCTCAATGTGCCTATCTGTAAATTGGGGGCGATACTAGGAGCTGCCACTCAGGTTCTGGGTTAGGGTCTAGCCCAGAAGATGAGTGTCGCAAGCCTTCTTCTCCCCTTCTTCCTTCCCTTTAGAGATTCTAAGTGGAGTCATCCGGAGCGTTAAGAAGGATGGCGAGTGGAAGGTAGGGGCCAAGGCAGAACGTCTGGATACCCAGGGGGACCCCAGAATGTGACAGTCCCCTCAAGAATTCCTCGAAGAAGATGTTGATTCCCAGGGTTTGGGCTGGGTAGATGAGTGCTCCATTGCCTCTGATCCTCGTAGGACCAGCTACAGGCTTTGTTTTTAACCTGCCTCACTCTTCTATGTCTTTCTATGTCTGTGTGTCCATCTATCTGGACAGGTGCTCATCATGGACCATCCAAGCATGAGGATCTTGTCATCCTGTTGTAAAATGTCAGACATCCTGGCGGAGGGCATCACCAGTGAGTGGATGCCTGCCCCCATGTTCCCCAGATAGAACCTGAGCCCTTGAATGTGGGACCTCTGGGTGTAGCTCTTGAGTATGGGATCCCTTCAGATTGGTTCAGCTTATAGTTCTCCCTACATAACCCAGAGCATATGACCAAGTGCCTCCTCTAAGCACGGAAGTCCACATTGGACTTCCTGATTGCAACCCTTAAGGGTCATCCTCATTGACTGTAACCAGCTCAATGCCCTGGGTGAGAATGTAGCTCCATTGGCAGAGTGCTTGCCTAGAATGAATAAAACCCTGAGTTCGGTCTCCAGCACCATATAAAATGGGCATGGTATCAAATGTCTATAATCCCAGCACTCAGGAGGTGGAGGCAGGAAGATCAGAAGTTAAGTTAGCTAGTGAATTCAAGACCACCCTGGGCTACATGAGACCCTGCCTCAAATAACAAACAATGATTGTGCACCCCCTATAGATGTCCCTGTAAGAAGTGTGGGTGGACTCTGGGCTCTCTCTCTCTTATTTTGTTTATTTATTTATTTCTATTTTGTTTTGAGACATGGTTTCCTTGTGTAGCCCTGGCTGTCCTAGAACTCATAGAGATCCACTTGCCTCTGCCTCCTGAGTGCTGAGATTAAAGGTGTGCACCACCACTGTCCAGCAACTCTGGGTTCTCAAGCGTATATAGACTCCAAGAGTATGGCTGTGTTACTCCAGATATGCAGAAAGAGCCCTGACTCTTAGCTCTTTAAGTGGGGGAACCTTAGGTCTTTATTTCTGTTTGGGATCCAAGGGAGTAGTATAACCCTTTAAAGCACCTCCACCATGGGTCCAGTTCCCCAAACCTGAGACTCCCCCTGTCTCTTTCCCCATACCACCTGTGTGTGTCTTTTCCTCTGTTGCTTTTAGTTGTGGAAGACATCAACAAACGTCGAGAACCCATTCCCAGCTTGGAGGCCATTTATTTACTGAGCCCCACGGAGAAGGTGCCTATAGGAGTTAGCCTCCATGTGCATGGGTTTGTGTGTGCTTGCAAGGTGCACATGTCAATGCATGTATCTGAGTGTGATACCCATGCCATTATGCATGTGTGTGCATATGTGATGCATGCACACACGTCACAATGCATTATATTCATATGCCAATGTATGTATTTATACGTGCACGTGTGTATATCCATGCCAGTGCATATATATGCTGCATATGCATATGTACATGTCAGAATGCATATGTGCATATATGCATATGTCAGTGTGTACACATCAGAATGTACTTGTGCATATATGTGTGTGCACATGCCAGAATTTGTGTGTTTATATGTGTACACATATAAGATTGTAGGCATTTGTGTATTCACATGTCAGAATGTATATGTGTGTATGTGTGCATGAGTGTGCATGTCAGAATGCATGCATGTGTCAATGTATGTGAGCCCCCCTCTCCACAATTGTACATAGTGGGGGATGAGCATCAGTTGAGGACTCCCTGTGGAAGATAGGTCTGGGGTGCAGGGTCTGATTCTAACAGAAATCTGCATTCCTCAGTCGGTTCAGGCCCTGATTGCAGACTTCCGGGGGACACCGACCTTCACCTACAAAGCAGCCCATGTCTTCTTCACTGACAGTGAGTGAGGAGAACTAGGGGTGTTGGGTGCTGTGATGAGGTGGGGGTTATGGTGATGAAACATTGGTCTGATGGTCCCTCTCTCAATTCCAGCATGCCCTGAGCCCTTGTTCAGTGAACTGGGCCGCTCTCGCCTGGCAAAGGTGGTGAAGACACTGAAAGAGATCCACCTGGCCTTCCTCCCCTATGAGGCCCAGGTACAGCCCCAGCTTGTGGTGGGGAAGGGATGGACTGTCCTCGACCAAATGGCCCAGCTCCCTCCAGAATAGACAGTACCAACAAGGAGTGAACAATTAGCAGGCCCTTGCCTGGAGTGTTAACCCTCTGGTTATTCCAAACAGGCAGCCTGGAGTACAGGGCAGAATTGTCTCATTCCCCAAAGCGGGAGTGAACAAAGACCTGCCTTTGTTCCCTTTCAACATAGCAGATATCCTAGCCTGCTTCAAAGCTGATGAAACAGGTTCCATAAGATAGCAAAGGCCCCTGGCAGGTGCAGGGACAGCAGCTGGAAGTTGGGTTGGGGGTATCCCCTGTGGTGTGGCCATGACACTTCTGTCCTCCTCAGGTGTTTTCTCTGGATGCCCCACACAGCACCTACAACCTTTACTGCCCATTCCGGGCAGGGGAGCGGGCACGGCAGCTTGATGCATTGGCCCAGCAGATAGCCACACTATGTGCCACCCTTCAGGAATACCCATCCATTCGCTACCGCAAGTGGGGACCCATCCCCTCCCCAACCCCAGTGCTACCTTTTTACCGTCACTCTCATTCTGTGTCCATTTTTTCTCTGTGTGTATGCATGTTTTCATGTGTGTGCACATGTGTGTATGTATGGAGGTCAGAAATCAACCTAAGGTGTCTTCCTCAGTCACCATCCACCTTTATTTTTTTTTAAAAGATTTTTTAAAAAAAAACTGGGTGGTGGTAGCACACGCCTTTAATCCCAGTACTCAGGAGGCAGATGCAGTTCAAGTCTAGCCTGGTCTACAGAGCTAGTTCCAGGACAGCTAGGGCTGTTATACAGAGAAACAACAAACAAACAAAATTATGTATATGTTTATGTATGTGAGGTGTTGTTACATAGTCCAAAAGAGGGTGCCTGACCTCTTGGGCTATAGTTATAGGTGGCTGTAAGTCTCTGGGTGTGGGTGCTGGGAGCAGAACTCAGGTTCTCTGGAAGAGCAGTTTGAGCCTTTAACTACTTAGCCATGTTTTTGAGACAAGGTTCTTCCCTGGGCCCAGGGCTTCTGCATTTGCCTGGATTAGCAGGAGAGACCCAAGGACCCCCTGTCTCCACCTCCCCAGAGCTGCAAATTCACAATTTTAAAACATGGCTCCTGGGGGATGAAATCGACCCTCATGCTAGCATTTTTACCAACTTAGTCATTTTTACCAACTTAGCCGTCTCCCTGGCTCCTGTGTCCAGTCTTTAATTTGATCCTCACCCAGTCCCCTACCTTCCGTCCTCATCCCTACCCTTGATGTCTCCTATCTGTGCCCAGTCGTCCCAGCCCCCATATCCTGATGCCCCTATCTATGTCTGACCTCCAGGGGTCCAGAAGACACAGCCCAGCTGGCCCATGCTGTCCTGGCCAAGCTGAATGCCTTCAAAGCAGACACTCCCAGTCTGGGCGAGGTAAGAGGGATGCTGAGGGGGGTGCCAGGAAGGCTTTGTAGGGTCACAGCCAGTGCCTTCATCCTCTCTCCTTGCCCAGGGTCCAGAGAAAACACGCTCACAGCTACTCATAATGGACCGGGCAGCAGACCCCGTGTCTCCGCT